TGGAACAAAACATTTCAAAACAAGTCTTTTTATTCTATTTGGCTACTGCGTAGAGATAGCTACGCCGTGGAATCGGTTCGACAAGTCGATATCCTTAATTTTAATTTAAATTATTTAAACAAATTTTGTTTTTGTTACAGTGATGGAGACTGCGTAAAGGAATGAATAAAGTAAAACTAACTCATAAGAGACACACATAGCCAAAAGGAAAATATTGAGGTAAGTCTTCTTCTTAGTTTATTTAGTCTTAATGGCCTTATGTTGTAAAAAAAAGATTTATTTATCTTATCAGGAATTTCCTAACATTTTTTAGAAAGCCTTTATATTTATTAAGTTAAGTACTTAAATTACAAATGGAAAAAATAAAAAAAATCCGTTACTAGAAGAAAGGCAGACACGACATTGGTGTTAAGCTAATAAGTTTCATTTTAATCTATATATATATATATGAATGAATGTTTGTCTGTATATCCTTTATAGAATCGTAAAATATGCATTTGATCATGTGATGATCTTTAACAAAGTTGTTGTGCATGAGCCAAAGAAGGTTTCTGAGTTGGTACAACCAATTTTCGACAAGAAAAACAAGAAATATTGTGTATCCCACAGCACTTTAATAAATATCGAATTGAAACGAAACGCTGCAATCACAATTTTTTCGAAATGAACAAAATCAATAAAATGAGTCAAAATGAATTGAATATTTGTGTAATGTCTTTCCTTTAAATTTATTTTATTTAGTGGCGTAGCAACGCGCGCAGGATACAGCTAGTTTCTCATAAAAAAAGACGATTTATTATCAGCAGAGCTACAAGCTACTAGCAATAAAGAGATTTGAAAAGTAAATATTATGTTTTGCATTTTTCTAAAAATGAATGTTAAGTTTTTAGTTACCTGAATAACAGAGAGCTCTTTACTGTAGGTGATGACATTTAATTTCATAGATAAGGTATAATTTATTACGTTATTTATTGGATACCGTTTTCTCAGTGAAAATGAGCAACATTTTAGGTATATTATTTTGTTGATTTTAATTAATGGCGGCACCATTAATTAAACATTTTTAAAATAATTAAGTAGGTAGGTAACTGAAGAATTGTCACCAATTAACAGAGGTAGCAACATAGACTAAGAATATCGAATCTCATTCTGTTAACAATTTACGAATATTTCATACAATTAGAAGCAATTAAAGGCTAGGCAATTTTATAGCTAAATTTCTCTAAACATTTTTAGGAATAAGGCAGGTAGGTACATGTAATTAGTCAATATCTCTAATGGATTGCAAATACATAAGGGTATCTAATAATTGTTAGGGAGAATAATTACGTATGACTAATACGTAGGTATCATGAATAACCCAAAATTTTAAATTTCTCTTTCAGTTTAGGATTTACAGTGTCATAAAAACCTTTTCTATTCGATTTCTTTTTAATGTAGTTGACAATTTAAAATTGTTTCGGCTACTACATAAGTAATTCAGAGTTTTAATTATATATTAATATCACTTTGCCTCAGTTTCAATATTTTTTAAACCACATACATACATTTTTACATAATTTTTCGTTTATTGTAAAAAAGTTATTTCTGCGAACTCCAAAAATTGAATTAATTTGGAATTTTTCGTACTTCAGGTGGTTCCCCCAAAATTTTTTATTTAGGATAAAATTACAAATTTTATACTAGCAGTAATTAAAATCTTTTCATTGACAACAGTTAAAAATGGCTTCTGACGGAGTTAAAATTTAAATAATCTTGTTGAGCATTATATGTATAGTAAGACCCATCCTTTTTTGGCATTTTTTCGGTAATTTAAAAAAAATGAACGTTTCAACATTATTTTTTCATAGGCATTTTCAGGACCGTCTTAACAACCCGGGCGATTACGCGGGGCGGCATTTTTAGAGTGGCGGTCAAACAGGGTACAGATTTACTTTTTTGGGTTGAAGGTTTTGTATTTACTAAGAAAAAAAAAATATTATGCGGTTCAGCATTGTCGCAGCTCGCTCAATTGAACATCCTTTTCCTTTTTTGTTTTATTGTTCACCCCCTCGCTCAATATACAAAAGTATTCTAAACCATTGCTCTTTACTTCGCTATACCCTGGACATTTTTCTAAAAAACAACTTCACTGTCTGATTGCCTGGTTTGTTTATTATTTTCGTATTTTTGAATATGCAGTTCACCGACCAGGAAATCGTTACTTAGATACTACAATGAATCTGGGGAAAAATTTCCCCCTTGAAAAAAGTCCCTGAAAAGTCATTTTAAATGATACCCATTAAATTCTAGTTCAAAGATTAGCCGCTACAGTAAAGGCCCCCGAATTTTCCGTAGTGCTGTTATAGCTTTAAGAATATTTCTGACCATACTCTCGTTTCTGTAGCTTCTAGAGAATGAGACTTCTCCAAATTAAAAATAATAGAAAATTATTTAAGATCAAGTATGGATCAAAATAATTTCAATAGAAAATAAGGTGGCAACTGCATTAGATAATAACGATTTAATTTCTACTTTTGCAGAAATT